AGAAAAAAGGTGCATACTAATTTGAGATGAACTGAACTAGAGAGTATGACTCTTACTTGGGTTGAGAGTTGTCGTACTGTGAGGTCAAGGGAATCCACTAGGGAAGGAAGGAAGATTTGCAGCTTCAGTTGCAGTCAAGTTTTACAAAGATTTTTAAACCCAGACAACACCAAAGTGGCAGTTTTCTTGTACCTGACCCCCTGAACATTTAAAAAAAAAAATGTCTGCAGTCCAGTGTGGACTTTTGTGTACCTAAGGTTTTGGGATAACCCAGTTTAAAAAGACAGTGTAATTCCCTACTATTACTTTTTGTTTTCTCCCCATGATGCAGGTCATCTGACTCTTTAATTTTGCTCTGTGTGTGATGGTCTTCCACATAGTAAGCAAGAAGATAAAGGTACATTTAGGAAATGAAATTGGGGACTTGGTAGAAGCTTACCACTACATCAGGGGAATACATCAAGGGGTTGGTGAACAACTGTTCATCAGGGAACCCTTGGGGACAATTAGGAGTAATGGCCACAAACTCCTGAAGGACTGCTTCAAGCTCAACTCCAGGAAAAACTTCTTCACAGTCAGGGTGTCCAGACTGTGGAATAAACTCCCTCCAGAGGTGGTGCAATCACCTACCCTGATATCTTCAAGAGGAGATTAGACAGTCACCTTGCTGGGGTCACCTGACCCCAGTTGTCTTCCTTCTTATTGCAGGGGGGCTGGATCCAATTATCTTGGGAGGCCCCTTCCAGCCCCTTACAATCTATGAATCTATGACATTGACTAGAAGTTTAAGTTTGCTTTGAGGCAAAATCCATTTTTCCTATAACCATCAGCAATCCCTCATAGCTGAGGATAATCACTCCCATGGGTCAAGTAAAGGGGCTGTAAATGAGTCTGTTGATGGCTAAGAAGGCTGATCCTAGAGCTGCAGGCTCTGGTAGAAGCCAGAGGTGATGGTTAAAAGGAGGGTTGGACCACAGATTTCTTAGTCTTGGTTCATTTCCTTCCATTTCTGTTGTTTTTCTACTTCCATGGCAAGATGATTTTTCCTCAAAGTAACATGTACCTTCTCTCATAAGGCATCACCATGTAGCCCTGCCCCAGGCTAGTTTTTCCCAATTTGTGGTGTCAATGCCACGCTTCTTAATGTTTGCCTTGAGGATGTCCTTGAAGCATTTCCTGTGGCCTGCATGTGTTCTTTGTCTGTGGCTGAGGTGGGAGTATAACAGTTGTTATGGTAAACATACATCAGGCATGTGCACATACCCTGCCCTGTCCAGTGCAGCTGATGTTGAATAATCAACGCTTCCATACTGGTGGTAGCATTGGTGAGGACACTGGCATTTATGTGATGATCTTTATGTCATGGAACTTCCAGAGGTAGTGCTGGTGATGACATTCCAGGCTTTTCTGGTGGTCCTTGAAGGTCCCCCAAGCTTCAAAGCCGTAGGGAAGAGTTGGGATTACCACAGCCTTCATATAAAAGGAACTTTGGAAAGCATCTTTGTTTTTCTGATGTTAAGGGTCAGTCCCAGGCACTGATATACTCGAGAGAAGCAGTTAAAGGCTGTTTGTAGGTCCTCCTTCGTATGTGAAATGACAGCTTAGTCATTGGCGTACTGGAAGTTCTGCAATCAAGGGTGAAGTAACCTTGGTTTGGCATGGAGGCAGGAGACAGTGAAAAGATTCCCATCCATCCTGCATTCAATGCTGTGTGACAGACAGACATGGATAAGCATCCTGATGACTGCAAAAGAGATGGAAAACAGAATTGGTATCATCATATAACCCTACTTGACACCAGTTTGAATGGCAAAGGGCTCCATAGCAGAGTCACTACATAGGATGGAGGCAGTCACCTAGTCATGAAAGAGTCTTAAAATGGTGATAAACTTCCCTGGGCAGCCAAACTTCCATCAGATCTTCCATAGAGCCTCCCAATTAACAGAGTTGAAGGCTTTGGTCAAATTAATAAAGGCCATATACGGTTCCTGGTGGTGTTCTCGGCATTTTCACTGAATCTGCCAGACTGGAAAAATCATGCCCACAGTACCTCTTGATGGTCTGAAGCCGCATTGAGACTCAGGAAGGATTTCCTTGGCAAGAGGGAGCAGTCAGTTCAGCAGAATTCAAACAAGAATATTCCCAGTGATGGAGAGGAGAGCAATACCTCAGTAGTTTCCACAGTCAGGCTTATCCCCTTTTTAAAAAATAGCATTCCTTTTTAATATTGGCATTCCTTAGGTCAGTGGGAATTTCCTCAGTGTTTCAGATTTTGAGAAACAATATGTAGAGCTTGTTGGTCATAGTTTCCCCATCTACTTTGAAGACCTCAGCTGGCATGCCATCAGGGCCAGATGGCTTGTTGTTCTTCATCTGTCTTATTGTTGGTGGATTGGCAAAAGCTGCCCTTACTGGATGCTGTGGGATGGATTCAGTGGTTTCATTAGTTATCATTGATTCTCAGTTCAGAAGTTTTTGGTAGTTCTCCTTCCAGTGGTTTTTGATGGATTCATCATCTTTGAGGAGTGTATTGCTGTCTTGAGATCTAAGTAGGGTGAGTCTACAAGAGCTTGGTCCATATAAACCCATGATTACACTGAAAAAGCTCTGCGTGTCATGATTGTCAACAGGATTTCTTTCTCCTCCTTTTCTCACCATTTTTTTTTTTTTTTTTTTTTTTT